ACCTGCATTATTTAGGCAACGGAAAGCTAGGGTTCCTTTTTGATTGTACAGCTCCATTCAGCTATTGCAATAATTTTGAACTTACATGTGAATATGAAACATACCAAACATATTTATTTAAACACAGGTTATAGAGATATTAGCAGAAATAAATGATGGTGTTACAGAACAAGAGGTCCGAGGGAGGGGCAATACAATATTTGGCCCACCTAGGGATGCCAAAAACTGCTATACAACAGGGGCCCCTCCCAAAACAAAATACTAAAATCTACTGGGCCCTTCTGTCCGCCGCCAATTGGAAAGACATCTCTTAATGCCAGAGATTTGTGAAAAGGAAACAAAATGTTTATTTAATGCTATTCAGGCCTAATGCCACCACTAAAATATCAAAGTCCTTTAGGGTATACACCTACACCCACACAGCTCCCGCTTCTCCCACTGTCCCAACTCCGGGTACCGTAAATCAGGAAAAGAGCACATGTCTGTGTTGCAGGTTGCTGGCACCGTCAGCTGTGTCACTGTGCAGGATCTCGAGTTAATCCAAAGTACTGTGGTACCCTCTCATGGTCCACTGGCAAGAGTCCTTTGTACCCAGTTCCAATCAAAGTCTCTCTTGCTTTTCAGGCCCCGCGGCCAAAGGGGGCACCCCAAAGCCGCGTGGGCCTCTTCTACCAAAGCTGCAGGAGTCCACACTCCACCAAAAGCATGTGGCTGTCTTCTTCACCTGGCTACAGGGATCTCCATTCTGGCAAAGCTGAGTGGTTTTCCCCTTCACCTGGGAAAGAGGGGGTCCGCACCCTGCCAAAACCACGTGGCTCCCTGTTTCACCTCACCAAGAGGGGGTCCTCACTCTGCTGAAACCGCGTGGCTCTCTCTTCATCTGGCGAAGCGGGGACACTTCATGTCCTGGAGCCAGTCTTTTCCAAGCTCCCACACAGGTGCTCTCACTCAGGGGCACAGCCCCTACTTCCATCTTGAGTCCCAGCCCTTCTCCCTCAGGAGAGCAGCCCCTGGTTACATCCTGAGTCCCCAGCTACATCCTTCTCCCTGGCTCCAAACTTGGCCACTGCTATTTAACATATCTATGAAACCAGTTAAAGGTTATAGATATGTTAAATAACCATTCCACAGGTTAGCTGCAAAACTGTTGCTATGCAAAATAGCTCTCAATGGCCCTGGCTCTATTCATCCCTTCCCCCTGGGGGGGGGGGTGGCGAGGACATCTTAGATGTCTCTCCAATATTCCTATACACTTTGAATTCTGGACACCTTTCTAAATCTTTTTTTGGGGGCCCCCCTGGCTGCACCCTGTATCATCACCATGTAGTCAGGATATCGAGTTAATCCAAAGTACTGTGGTACCCTCTCATGGTCCACTGGCAAGAGTTCTTTCTACCAAGTTCTAGTCAAAGTCTCTCCTGCTTTTCAGGCCTCGCGGCCAAAGGGGGCACCCCAAAGCCGCATGGGCCTTTTCTTACCAAAGCTGCAGGGGTTTGCACTCCACCGAAAGCATGTGGCTTTCTTCTTCACCTGGCTGCAGGGATCTCCATTCTGGCAAAGCTGGTGGTTTTCCCTTTCACCTGGGCAGTTATCCCCTCATGTCCTGGAGCCCATCTTTTCCAAAGTGCTCATACAGGCACTCCCACTCAGGACTGCAGCCCCTAGTTACATTCTGGGTCCAAGTCCACTTCCTTTTCCCTGGCTCCAAACTTGGCCACAGCTATTTAACATATCTATGAAACCAGTTAAAGGTTATAGATATGTTAAATAACCATTCCAGAGGTTAGCTGCAAAACTATTGCTATGCAAAACAGCTCTCAATGGCCCTGCTCCATTCATTTCTTCCCCCTGGGGGGAGGGGTGAGGACATCTTATATGTCTCTCCAATATTCCTATACACTTTGAATTCTGGACACTATTCCAAATCTTTTTTGGGGGCCCCCTGGCTGCACCCTGTATCACTGAAAAGGGGGCTTGACAGGTGGATAACAATAATCAGAGAGAGAGTTACTTTCAGTTTAAGATTTGTAGTAAAATGAAACTGTTCAACCTGCTTATTATTATTTACATTATTTTTAATATAAAAAGAGAGTTAAAAGTAGGAGGATCTAAGAGGCAGAGTAGGCAGATATTACAGTCACCTCCTTCCAGGACCAAATTGGAATTAAAACTAAAATGTAGAACAATCCACCTGAATAATCAACTGAAGACTACCTGAAGAGAAGTCTTTCAGCCAAGGATTGTCAGAAAAAACCACATTAAGAGTGGTAGGAAGGGCGGAGATGGAAAAAAAAGACAATAAAAAATAAAATGAAAACAATGATTACACACACTTTTGAAAAGCTTAATTATAAAAGAGGATAGGAAAATCTGAAGTCAAACGAAACGTGGCATTAAAAGAAGATATCTTATGTGTTTTTACTTAATATGAAACCTACTAGAGCATGATTTTTTAAATAAAAAATAACCATTTACTTCATGCCAGAACCTTAGGATACAAACCCTATCAAGCAAATCTCTGAAGTTTTTAGCTTAAGAGATTATGTTCCGACGCTGCATATTTAAAATGTATAATATTGAGGATTAAAATGGCCACTGAGACGGCGGAAGCTGAGTCCACTTGCTCTTGCCTGGAATTCAGATTTTCAGCTGACCTTCCAATAAGTAAACTTGAGCAGTCAATGGAATCTTAGGTGATACCAAGGAGTACAGAAGTTATTTTACACCATCCACAAAGGATATTTTGTAACTTAGAGGGGAAATACTCTGTGCATAGCACCTGCAGCAGAGGAGAGACCAGTCAGAAGTTGCAGCATTGTAGCTCCCTCCCCTGCAGGGACAGGGTTTCCTAGTGCTGCAGAGAGACCCCCAACCTTAATCTGGACTTGGGAGGATATATAGAGTCTGGGAGATCCAGGCTACACACACACAGTGAGCAGACATCCATAGCTGCAGCACTAACGGAATAGTTCCAAAGAGGGACTCTATCCCTAAAACGACAAGAGGAGGCACCTGGGTTTGTTGGAGGCACTGGCTGGCTGCAGCCAGCTATGGCAGTGAAAGACATTGCTTTCAGGGGAGGAGGTGTGCTTGGAGAACCTAACAGTGATTCAGTACCACAGTGTAGGTGCCACATACAGATTGTTTAAATAAAAGCAGAGCTGAAGGGACCTACAGCTTCTCTGCCAGCAAACAGACCAGATTGAAAGCACAGTTTCTTCCCAGTGAATCCAGCTGGGCAGGGAGTTCAGAGAGGTGCACAATGAAGGAATTTCTGGGTCCTGCCCAGCACAGCTGGGATACACAAAACAGAGACTTTGGGACTGTGCCTCCAACTAGGGCAGAGGCTGGGAGTGGATGGGCAAGCGTTGAGATTCTTTGCATCCAGGCAGACCCACCTCCCCCCTGCAGAATAAAAATCTCTGGGAAGGGAAGGGCAGGCCTGGCCCCCACTTCCTGTAGGATTTTTAGCACCACATCCAACTGGGAAGCTCTGCAGAATAGACAGGCCAGGCTCAAGAACTTTCTGCCAGATGCATATCCACAAGAAAAAGAAAAACTCCAAAAGGGCCCTTCCTGAATATGTCTCAGGGCAACAAGCCACTTTGAAATCTTGGGCCCTATTCCACTGAAGCCACCAAGGCAGAGAGATCAGAAATTGGTCCAGCAAGGGGTATTCAGGGCTGCACTCAGCCTCAGTTCTTACACAGAGTGTCGTAAGTGCCAAGTAAAAAAGAGCTGACCATCTTACACAGATTGGCCCCTCACGTGAAACGGACAGCTAATTCATTAGAAACTGTACATTATTGAAAATAATCTGGGGTGGAACAATACATGTGGTTCAGGGTTAGGGGAACACACTCACAATCTTCTTTTAAGATTGAGCATTGCCTCCCAGGGGAAATCCAGAGGCCCCACCCTCTGATGACAAAGAAGCCCCCTTTAAAGGCAGGTGGAAGTTGTAGCTGCAGTGCTGCCAAATGCTGGATGACTCACCCCTGGGCCTTGAGCTGATAAAAAGCCAGTGGGGCAGAGTACCAAGGACCAGCCCAGAAGCAATGAAGCCTGAAGGATATGGCCACAGACTGTGGACTGCTTGTGGCCTTGAACAGGCTGTCTAGAGCTAGGTGGGGATGCCACCTGACATTACCGGAGTCAGATCCGGAAGCAGAAGAGCGCAGACAAACACCATACTCTGCTGAGACAAATGTTGATGTTTTTCAAATATATACTTTTATTATATTTTTCCATTACCATTTAGTCCCCTTATACTTCCTCCTCCCCAATGATCACCACCCTGTTGTCCATGTACATGAGTCTTCCTTTTTCCTTAACCCCTCCACACCCGACCTCCCCCCCACTAGCTGTCATCTGCTCTCCATCTATGAGTCTGTCTCTGTTTTGTTTGTTCAGTTTGTTCATTAGATTCCACATATGAATGAAATCATATCGTATTTGTCTTTCTCTCAGTGGCTTATTTCACTTAGCATAATATTCTCCAGGTCCATCTATACTGTTGCAAAGGGTATTTTTTTTCTTTTTTACACCCAAGAATGTTTTGTTTTTAGTTTTTTTTAATGCACGCTGAAATGACAGTTATAACAATACAACTAACTAAATTGTTTTTAATGAAGTTGAAGACAGCTAAACACTTTAAGAGCCATCTTACAGAAAAAAACAAACACAATTTTTGGCCATACCAATAGCTAACAAATTGATGTACATATTTCTAACAAGTTGGTATGGAAAAGTTGAGCAGCAAACTAGTAGTTTAAAAGAGAATAGAAATAAAATTTTCAGGTGAAAAAGTTAATGTGACTAATATAGAGAGCTGGTTATACTTTTTAGAATAATCTATTAGACAAATATTATGAAAGAAAAATTGGCAATATTTTAGAGCTTGTAAAGACCCTAAAATACATTTAATGTTTAGAATATTGATGTATATTTTTCTATTAGATAATTTACATGTACGGTCCAACTTATGGACACATGTGATTATAATGTTCACTTCACTAACAATACTGAAAAATAAAACAGCACATTCTTATTAAGCAAAACAATATTTTCTTCTAAAGCAAGAAAAGCTGATTCTGCTCCTGTAAATTTTGCCAAGCATACTTTAGGGATTCCTCCTTTTTATGTACATAATTTAAAGCTGGCAATCATTTGATTTTCCTGAGCATCATCAGATTCTACTTTGGCTGCCTGAAACTCTACACAGAAGAGCAAAAATGTCAAGCAGTTTGTTATCAATATTCTGAGCTCTAGGTATAGATGGACACGAACATGTAAATACAGTGGTGAAGAAAATCAGTAATTGTCTTGACAGTGCTTTTAAAGAAACAACTGTGATCATGCTGACAGCCCATGGTGCAGATGGAGAATCACAGAATCAATCTTCTGGTCCAAGACACCACTCTTCCGGGTTCCTTTGCCCACTCGGGAAACTTAGATGCTCAGCAGGAAGACCATTATCAGTCCAGAAATGTTTCAGTTTTTATCATTATTTCTTAGTAAACTCACTAAGCAAAGGCTTAGTGAAACCTTTGCTCTTACTCTCTTTGCTATTGGAAGGCTAATTGCTTTCTCTCACTTCACCAGAGATGACATTCCTCTTCGTAAACAACAGTTTACAATGTAGCTGGTTGAAGGCAAAGCTCAGGATAATGGTTTCACTTTTTGTCATGGAGTGCAGATGCCTAGGTGAAGAAAAACCTATGGGAAATGGTGCATTGTCAGGAACTTTGAATACATGGGTCCTCACCCTCAAACTGAATTGCTTCAGTGTTTCTCTTCCTCAGTATTTTAAAACTAACTATGTATATGCAATCTCTTTCTAAAATACTGTTCCAGTGTGGGTCCTTCCACCACCACAAGTCAAGATGAACTGGAACATAGTTTCCACCTAAATTTATTAAAAGCAAAGACATTATCATTGGAAAAAAATGGAATAAAACATTTCACTTAGTTTAATTATTAAACTTTATGTAAAAATACTAATCCCAAAACAAGCAAATTGGAGACCTCAAGCAACAGAGAAACACTACATCACGGAACATAAAATTATTTGAAATTTTTAATTTTATAGATTTATACCTGTCAATAATTTTATTTCCAGCTTTTTAACTTTTGAGCTGAGTTACCTTGTTGAAGTCATAACTTATTTTATTTTTCTTCAAAATGAGTGAAAATATCTGCATAGCTCACCTCAGTAAAAGTGTTACGGCCTATAAACTGGGACTTCCTGGTGCCTAAATGCACACCGTGAAAAGAGAGTAAGAACTCACCGGGATATTTTTGTACACTTAAGTCATTATTATAAGCATTGCACAAAACAAGATACTTTACCTGCCTCCTTAAATAGTTAATTATAATTTAAGATTTCGATGATGTAATATCAACAGTGAGCATCATTTTGCCATATTGTAAGATTTTGATGTTCTCATTAATCCTTTGGTGAAGGTTTGCCTTTTCAATAAAGGCCGTTAAGTTTTGTTTTCTATATTTTTCCTCTTCTGCCCTTGTTATTACACCATTGGTTTTCATAGTTTACTTCTGTAAACTTGCTTTCTGAAACATGTTCATTTGTCCCATTGTGCTGTGAATTTTTTGAAAAAATAACTACACTTGTGAAAAGAATATACAGAAGAGAGGAAATGATTTCAAGTGATTGCACTCAGCCCTCCATCCCTTAAACATGCATGCATGGACTGCACACTCTATGTGATCTACTCTAGGGTCTCAAGGCCAATTTTGTACCCACTCTTCTTACCTGTTTTATGGAAAGCTAATGTTAATTAACACATGGATACACTATTAAAATTAACAATATGAAAAACTATAATGGAATATTGATAAGAAAAAGCGAATAAAATGAAGTAACTGCAATTAATTAGATAAAAAGTAATGAAATATCGAAGGGTCATATAACCGTAAGCTACTTAAGTTTTCTTTTTAATTACCTTTTGCAACAAAAAGCTTAATTTCTGTTTCTGATTTGAAATATTAAAAATGAGAAAATATACTGTTATTTACCAGTGTAAAGACTTTCTTCAGCCATTTTTTAGATTAATAATAATAATCCATTTAACTGTACATGCTCAGATTAACTAGAAAATAGAGTGAAAACTTCATTACTGGTCATTTTTATACTTCTGCATGACTTGAAAATAATTCATTTTTATATTTCTTGTATCTCATCTATCTAAATCATATTTCACTTATTAAAATTATTTGCTTTTAAATTTTTGAGATAATTATAGACTAACATGTTAGTGCAAAAAATAATACACAGCTCCTGTATATCTTCATCCAGTTGCCTGCAATAGAAACATCTTACATAATTATCAACAATAAAATGCCATAACCAGAAAATTGTCATGGATACAATTTACCAACCGTATTAAGTTTCCACTAGTGTAACATACATTCACTTGTGTGTATATGTATGTGTGTGTGTGTGATCAGTGTGACCTGTCACAATTGGTGTGTTACATGACATTGTATATTTATAAGTATCATTTTAGTAGCTCCTCAGTCTTGGGATCAAAATTACATGACTTTAAAGTAATGCTGTCATAGCCGACATATATATTAATGTTGCTTTGGTAACTAACTGAAAGCCCTGACAATGAGGTTACCTTGGCTGTTATTCCTGATCAACTGAAAAATATCCTTACCCACAGCCAGTCACCAGGGGGTCAGCAGAACTCCAGTTATGTTCCTCCAGTTGTTCAATCATCTGAGTAAGAAGGCTATGCTCCTGTAGAATAGTTAAAAGACAGGTTTGGTAAAAGTTAGTTTTATACTAGATCTTTCTATTAGTAAATTTTGAGAGTCATGGTATTTTTTTGTCAGACTGAGTAAATGACTCATATACAACTAGCTATTTTGTAAATAATAGAGCATTTCCAGATTTTTTCAGGTGAAATATAGCAACTATAATTGAAATTAGAGGACATAAAAATATGTTCAAATGAATATATCTGATGCAAATAGAAATACATGAGATTAACTTGTTAGAAATTAGTATAGAGGGCATTCAGATGTATTGTTTTAAACAAATTTACATTTGTTTATAGTTATTAACCCACTATAATATCATAATTAATGATATTAATTATAACCTAGTATTCCTACTATTGATTAGAGAATTATATTTTTGATGTAATAAGTGCCCTTAGATGATATGCAATATTTATACATAAGCTCACAATTTTTTAAAATTTTAATTTAAAAACACATTTTTGAAAAATCAACATAAGCATGATAATAAAATCTGACAAGAACTTTTTAAAACTCATGCGTCAATGTAACTCATGAACATAGATGCAAAAATTCTGAATGAAATAGGCCAACCAGTCCAGTACTATGCAAACCAAACTGTATTGTATTAATTTTAATGAGAAAGAGAAAAGCTACTGTAGCCATTCAGGAGCTAGCCTGGCACCACTATCATCTAGGACCTGGTGCTGTTAACAGTTATCCTGGTAATCTTGGCTGTATTTTTATTTTACTCTATTAAATTCTAGTAATTTCACAGAACACAAACATCACATAAGTCCACTCTGCGATCATGCTGAAACAAGACAAAAATAAGTTGATTATCATGTCTGACACAGATATTTATCTCCAAACTCATTAATTGTATACATTAAATATAGATAACCCCTCATAGGTCAGTTATACCTCCATAAAGTTGTTTTTTAAGTGATTGTTCATACCACAGAATAGACAAATGTTCCCTTAGTTTGATTAATATGAGTTACTGCCATTTCAGTACCAATGATAGCTTCAGTCTTGTCCTATTCCTTTTACTGTATCAAAAAGCTTCACTAAAATATCTAATCATAAAATATCCCCATGTTCTGAAAACATTCAATACAAAGTCCAGCTTCCTTGAACACTCTTGGAAAATCACCTAACCTATCCAAACCCTATAAGGTCTTTCTAACACCCCCTTACTAAGACATCCCACAGTTCTTCTTAGTGTGTGCTCTTCTTTGTTGCAAGGAACAGTAAATCAAAATTGTTAAAATACAGGTGTATTCATGGTGGTCTTTGGCTAGAGGTCATTGACATCAGAAATGCAAAGGTGATTCCATAGCCCCAAATCAACCAGTGTGTTTTAACACAGATATAATTAAGAATAAGTATATGATTATCTGAATACATTAAGATAAGGAATATGATAAAATTTAACATCAGTGAGTTTTTAAAACTCTTAGTAAATTGTATTTAGCCAGCTTTCCTTACTATATATACTTATTCAAGTAGAAAGTGTGGATCGTGAGAAAGGAGATACCTTCCAAGAAGGGCTCCTGGTTTGCTAACTGAGCTCAAATTTAAAACAGCCTAACAGCCATTTCTAAACATGGAACACTCTCACAAACTATACTTCAGGCAGAAGCCAGCATTAAACTGCCTGATTCCTGCACTGTTTTCTTGTCATCTAAGCCAGCCCTTATAAAGGAGTTCCTGGAATCCAATTCATCAATAAGGCTCTTCCCATCCAATAGGAGCTATGCAGCTATATTCCCATCAGCATCTTCACTAACCAATCAGAGTTGTCTCATTGAGACCAATCAGTGCAGTGCCTTTTGAACCAATCGACCTGGGAAGTCTTGAAGTCTTCATTCGCATGATACCAGACCAACCAGGGACCAAGGACAGCCAGCTCTCCTCTGGCTCAGAGAAGACAGTTTTACTTTCCATCAAAGACCAAAGACTCTGTTTCCTTGTCTGGAACTGAGACAGCAAAGATTAAACACCAAAGATGTTTCACTGGGGTGGAGAATAGTAGACTGGTGCAGGTCAGAGTGGAGCATACCAGAGCAGGGACAGCAGAGGTGTCTAAACTAAGACAGACCTCATTCCCAGCACACCCTACCCCAGGGCCATCTCTCATTGGTACTGCTTTATACGTGAGCTGTAACACTATTTAGTTATTCCATACTCATGCTGTTCTCACAGCCATGCTGTGTCACAGTTGAGTTTTTGCACTGAATAAAATTCCCTTCTTCATTTTTACCCCACATTGGGGATTTCTGTTGCCATTGAATTAGCACCACTTACAATAGGTTAACAGAAAGAAAGGAAAATGACCTAATCTTATAAAGTTAACAGAAAAAAACAAAAGAAAATAAAACAGAGAGTAAACATACATTATAAATGAAAAGCTAAAAGCTTTGTCTCTGAATCAAGGAACAAATAAGGGATGCCTACAATGCCCACTTTTAGTACATATTCAATATTTGTATTGAAGATCCCACCTGATGAGATAAGCAAAAAGAATAGTGATAGGATTGCAAAGAAATACTGTGACAGATACATGATATCTTATAAGTGCTATAGACGAAATCAATTATATTGTATACACATGTAACAAACACAAACATTTTATGAAAAGATACCACTTATATGCTGATACCACAGCATAAAAATACCCACAAAACTAATGAAAGATGTATAAGATTTCTGTGCATTGTATCTAAACATTTTAAAACACTGTTGTAAGAATTTAAAGAAGATAAAAAAAGAATGATATGCCTTGCTCTTTGGATTGGTTTTATTTAATGTGAATAGCCAAGACATCGTTAAAGAAAATTTTAAAGAAGAACAAGGTATTACTGGTTTTATTATAGGTCTTAATAATTAAGACAGTGTACTAAGGACACAATGATAGGCAGAGAGATACCTGACAGAGAATAGAGAGACTAGAAGAAGACCAATTTATGTTTGAGGACTTGAGTTATGAAGAATTTAGCACTGCAAAAAGTTCTAAAACCATTTCATGTTCATATAGAAAAACTGTATTAATACCTATTTCATACCATATACAAAAGTCAGTTCCACTTCTACTGTTGATATAATTCCAAAAGAGAAAAAGTATTCTATTAAAATGTGGGAGACTAACATCATTAACTTGAGTTAGGTAAACATATTTGAACACAAAGTTACGGTAAATACAAAGAAAGACTGATAAATTGGACTATCTAAAAAGTGAGGACTTTTATTCTTATTTGTCTCCAGTACACAGTGAAAAGAAAGTGCCAAGTAGAAGACAACTGACATTCTTTAAGCAATGACTATTCACATCTAAAGTAGATAATGAACTACAAATCAGTAATTCGAAGATAGGTATCCCTAAAGAAAACTAAACAACAGACTTGAACTTCACAAAGAGGTTATCTATAGAGATAAAAATATATGAAAAGGTGACAAACATATTTTGATTTGAGAAAATTGACATGAAAACCACCATAAGATACCATTACACTTTTCATAAATATTGAATGCAGATTGCCTACAACTAAGATGAATGAGAGTAACAAATGTTAGTGAAGATGTAAAGAATATGTACAGAGGTACTCATACATTGTAGGCATTTGAAAATATGAAGTACAGCATTTATTTTTTGAGATTATTTGTCATTAACTTCTAAAATTGAATTTGTGTATAACTATCACACAAGAATTCCACTTCTAGGTATATTTTCAACAGAAAGGCATATACATATTGCCAATAAACAAGTACAATTAAGTTCATTATGGAATTTTTCACTATCACACAATCTCTCAGCCATCTGAATGCCCATCAACAGTAGAAAAGATAAATAAATTGCCAAAAAATTTTTACAACAGAAATTCCTCCACAATGAAAATATATCAACAACAGCTATGTACAAGAACATGGATGATACAAACATGACTGAAAAAATCTATTAACAAAACACTGTGTCATTCTATTAAAATAAACCAATAATATATTTATAAATTATGTATAATCTTATGAGATAAAAATAAAGGTGGTTTATATGTTCACAACTTTTTCAGAATCAAAACTTAGCTGGACAATTTGATATGGTTTAATGCAATTTACTTATTTATTTTTATAATGTAAAACTTCTAGTTTTTTTTATTGTTGTTCAAGTACAGTTGTCTTCATTTTCCCCCCACACACCCCCTACCTCCCACTACCAATCCTATTCCCCTTTGGCTTTGTCCTTGGGTCCTTTATAAATGTTCCTTGATGACCCTTCCTCTTTTTTCCCCTGTTATCCCCCTTCCCCTTCCTCTACCAAAATAAAACCAGAAACAGTGAAATAAAGAACAAATTGATTTAATGCAATTTAAATGCAACAAATAAAGTTATCAAAACAGTCAAACCTCTTTCAATATTATTATCTCATCTGGATAGTCTACAATGAGGATTGTTGAAGTTGCTTTCAATGAGTCAGAAAGAATTTCACATGCACTGGGTGTTTTTTGTCAAATGTGTGATATGTGGCTGAAATTGTGGCCAGAGTCTATATGTATATATTAACACATTGTTATTGTCATTTGCTTCGTTTCATCAAGTGTAGTATTATAATTTATCTCTTTTGCCTTGTTAGGAATTAATCTAAATCATGAGCGTAAAATTTAACTTGATTTTTTTAAAAAAGCAGAGTATTCACAGTCACTATTGCAAAGGCTTTCCATTTATTTCACAACAACCAGAAAAGTAGGTCACTTTTGGAATTGTCAGTTACAAAAAATAGTACCCAGAGAAATAAAGCAGGAAGTTAGATTTGAAGTGTTTTCTTTACACTTCTTCAAGATGAAAATTATATGTGCTTTCGACGACAAACTATTTTTGAGTTCACCATGACCGAAAAATTTCAGATGGCATTTTTTTCTTTCTTTTATGCAATCAAAGGTACATTTATGAAGAGATAATGCATATTGTATTGAACCAAAATTATTTACCTTTTATTCATTT